CCAATATACTAGGTGAAGCGGCCAAGTAAATGACCCTAGGCATGTCACTCACTCTAAGCCTCAGAGGATGGTAATGGCAACACCCATTTGAAGAAACATGCCAAGAAAACCTCATGATAAGGTTGCCTTAGGGTTGCCATAAGTCAGAAAGGACTTGAAGACACAAAGGAACAACAAACAAGTCTGCCATTCTTTCATAGGTAGTACATAGGAATAGGAGCCAGCATGGTGTAGTGGTTTGAGTGTTGGACTACCACTCTGGAGACCTGGGTTTGATTCCCCACTCTGCCATGAAACCCACTGGGTGAACTTGGACAAGTCACACATTCTCAGTCTCAGGGGAAGGCAACCACTCTAGCCAAGAAAACCCCAGGATAGGGGTTTGTCTTTTATCCACTGCTTCCTCCTTCACCTCTTATCCACTGCTGCTTCCTCCTCCTGTCTCACACCACACTACGCCACCCCTTTCTTCTCCCTCCCTCCCTCCTCTAACCTGGACTTCCTTTCTTCCCCCTCCTCCTGTCTCGTGCCACGCCACCTCTTCTTCCTCCTCCTCCTCCTCCACCTGATGTATAAGACGACCCCCAACTTTGGAGAACATTTTCCTGGATTAAAAAGTAGTCTTATACACCAGAAAATACAGTATATGTGATTGTCCGCTACTTCCTTAAACAGAGGCCTGTATGCAGAGTAATATGGTCTTCTAATCTAGTATATAATACTAGTAGGGTTGTCAGTTCTCAGTGCCTGACCCCTGTTCTTTAGTCTTCAGGGGAAGGGAAACACTCTCAGGGCAAGAACACTGCTTTTGGATATTGTAGAATGAAATCAAATAATGTTTTCAAATTGTGAAAAGGGCACTAAAATACCAATTGCAATCATACCATAAAATATATAAACAGCAAATCAGATCTCTTTTGGTTTCTTCAGCCACACATATTAATTCTACTTGTAATCATCCCCAGCCTTTTCAGTACCATAAAGTATGAAATTGTTGGGGAGACAAGAAATTATGAGACATTGTCATTTGATGGATTAAATGCAATAAAAATGCTAATGACTAGATATCTAATTTCATACCTAAAATAATAAATTGATGTTAAATACAATTGCAAAGCAAAGCAGCTTCATTTATATACTGCTTCATATCGCGCTATGGGATGTCTAAGCAGTTTACAACTGTAAGCTCATTGCCCCCCAACAGTTGGGTACTCATTTTAGTGACCTCAGAAGGATGCAGGCCTGAGTCTAGCCTGAGCCCTGGCTAGTACTGAACTCGCAACCTTGTGGTCTATGAGTGAGTGGCTGCAGTACAGGCATTTAACCACTGCACCACCAGGGCTCTTCTATTTGTGGGAGGGAGTGTTTGGTTTAAGAAATACAAGCAAAACTGGGGGTGGTGGTATGGAAACTTCTATTTGATGTTTGACACTTTGAAACAAGCTTTTATAAATTAATTGTACTGATATTTTACATCTCTAAAAATGAAAAGACAGACTGAATGAAATCTGCAAGAGAAAATGTGTGCAGCTGTTTGGAAATGTTAGAAAACAGGTATAGTGGTCACTGAAGAAAACAACAGATGTTCATTGCTATTAGATCCACCTGTTCTTTGTTTTATTTAATCTTTTTATTTATTGTTTACTATATCAAAACATTAGTTGGAAGGATTTTTTTTTACTCTACCCTATAAAAACAGCCAACAAGAAAATAAAACCACAAACTTTTCATAATTAATTTACTAACAGAAGCAAGAATCAGAACAAGTGGCTATGAAAAATATGGAGGACGGCCTCAATGCAAAAATTACTCAAAATAATGAGCTTGTAGGTGATACTATGCACCTGTTATTGTGGCTGTTGTTGTTGTGTTCAAAGCTCTGTAAACTCCACCAAAAGGAATCAGTTTATGATCTACTACCATATTACAGAGAGGTTTGGGCACACAGGAGGTCTGTCAGTACCATCTCTCATTGCTCATTGACATTCAGCTGGATATTTGAATAACTGTGATCAAAAACTACCATGTTCGAGATTGCAAGCAGAGAGAGAGAGAGAGAGGGGGCATAAGAGATTCTTCTAATGTAATGTAAGTGTACATAGTGTGTAAAGGAACAAAGAAGAAAAAAAAGAGGACAAAAATAAAAGCCATAAGAAATAAAAGGGGAAGCTGCAATTTAGAAATCACATGCAAGAATTTCCAGAGACAGAGCAGCGAAAGAGATTTAGCGGTCAACAAATATATCTATCACTTTTTCCCTATTTTATGAGTTCATATTATCAGTTTAAAACAGCTGTTATATATTGATAGAACAAAGGGAGGTTCCTTTCTGAAGGCAGTAAAATGACTTGAGTTCTGGTTGGCTTTTGCAGTCCATGAGATCAGGCACTTAATTTTGCCAATATTCTGGATTCCTCATTCCCTCTCACTGCCATGTGTAGAACATCACAATTGCCTTACTGGACCAGACTAAAAGCTTATTGACTCACTGGGTGAAATTAATTTTTTTTTTCTGCTGACAGAACTGCCTCTATCAGCATTGCTGGGGGAAGGGATACATTCTGTCCCCCACACTGCAGCCTCTTAGAGGTAGAAATTTTAGCATGCCTAGCAGTGTTCATTCCTGTGTGTTGGTATTAATCATACCCAATATTTCCCTGCAAGAGTTAGCCAGTAGTTTGTTAATCCTCCATTTTTACTCTGCAGCTCATTCACTCTCCTCCATGATTGAAGAGCCCATATTACAGCGTCTCTCACCTTGAAATTTTTAGCAGTTGTAAGTAAAACTACTTCAATTATTTTTTTCAAAGAGTAAGCCTCCTATATGTCTCTGTTTGACCCTGTGTGTGATGGTGATGTGGGACTTGTTGTTGCTTACCTTCTGCTTATAAATACTAATTATTTTACTTGTAAGAAGCATTACTATTTCTCACATTTCCCAGCACCACTGCTGTGCCCTCAAAGTACATTGCAGAGGGTTGGAGAAGTTTCTGAAGCAGATAGGCGATGGAATGGACTAGAGGAGGAAATAATCACCATATTTGGAGTCAAGAAGATATTTGTTTTTCTGGTAAGTATGAAATACACAGGATTGATCCTCTGGTAACTAGTAACTAGTTTAGAAAATCCAAATATCAAATATAATTAATTGTATTTCACATATAGAATGATAAATAACTTAGAAAAGAAGTCCCCCATCTGACTTAAGGTCATACACACACACACACACACACACACAACCTTCTGGAAGTAAATATTATTACATTACTAAAAGAAGCATAATATGCTGTCAAAAGCATTATGTTGTGTTTCTGCATGTTGTTTCTGGAACAATACTTTTGTAACTTTGATGCATCAAAGGTCACAAACATTTATGTTCAGCATCCAGGATCAGAGACTACAGAAATTATCACACAAGCATAAAAACACAACTTACCTCTCTTGAGATCAAGTAAAATTTGGGCTGCATCCAGGTCCTATCGCACGGCTTTTGTCACCAAATCCACCAATCCAAATGCAGCCCAAGTGCAGTCTGGCTCATATAACTCACTTTGAGGCCATTTTTCAAAAGTCGGAAGCTTCTGACTTTTGAAAAATGGCTGCGAAGCAAGTTAAGTGAGTTGGGCTGCACTCAGGCTGCATTTGGATGGCAGATTTGGTGACAAAAGCCATGCTATAGGACCTGGATGCAGCCCAAATTTTACTTGAATTCAGAAAAGGTAAGTTGTGTTTTTATGCTTGTGCAATAATGTCATACTTATATGAGCCTGGTGACTGAGATAAAGCCCATTGTCAAAGAAAGGAGTCTCTTTGCATAAGATTGATGACAGCTGTTCAGGCTTTTTGCATGGGGAAGAAATACCAATCCATGTAGTGAGCATGGGGCAGCATGTTCCACCTGATCTCAATGACCCTAGCCCCTTTCTCACTGTACTTTATCATCCATATTACTGTGAGAGACAGCATGCACGCCCATGAAAAGAGAATAAGAGAGGACACTTATTTACATAAACCTACATATGTTGACTTATGGTGAGTATGCTAATTTATGCAAATGCAGCATAAATCAGCATTTGATTATACATATGTTGATTTAGCAACTTCAAGGTCCCTGATCAGCTTCCTTATACTTCTTTAGCTTTAAAGTAGATTTATTTATTCATTTATTTCATTTATATGCCATTCCACCTTCCCCCAAAAGGAACCCAAGGTAGTTCACAGATAATTAGACAGGACAGGTCTTTAAACAGAGGACCATGAAAGTAAGTGCAACACTGTCTAACTGGGAAGCCAAATGAAGCAGGCTTCTTGAATGTACAGTGGGCTCTGTTTGCATTCAAAAAAACAGAAGCTAAAACTCCCTTCAGATCTTTCTGCTCAGTACTGGATGGCCAGCAACACCGAAGATGTGCTTGGTATAACAAGGTCACTGGAGTTGAGTGGAGAAGATGCTGTCCTATGCCCCCTGCAAGGATGGGCATTGTGATTCAGGCAATGAGTAGGGCTGAGTGGAATAGAACTTTATTGAAATCTAAACATGTTCAACATAAAAAGGCAACAGAGATTTGTGTTTATTTTTCTGCGATGACATAGAGGTGAAAAACACCCATGTAAACATGTAATTAGTTAGAGTATCATTGGCCAACGTATAACTACCACAAAATATCCCTATGTGGAATGTTTAACAAGTTGGATTTTAACTTCTCAGTCAGAAAACTTGTGATATGTTAAAGATATAATAGGCCATTTCAGATGTCTGAACACCATGAATAATCAGCCTATGGTTAGAGAATGCTCAATGATCTTCTTCTGATCTAAATATATTAAACCAAAGATCTGAACAGAGTCAATGTGTGCATAACATGGAGGTGTGTATAGACTTAATAAAATATTATGCTCCCCTTCCTTTTTTGAATCTGAATTGAGATCAGAATGTGCAAATACTGCAGCAGACACTTTTCCCTTAAACTAACTGTAAAAGAGAAATTATTGAAAGGAGAGGCAGTGTGGTGTAGTGGTTTGAGCACTGGACTACGACTCTAGAGATCAGGGTTCAATTTCCTGCTCGAACATAAAAACCCACTGAGTGACCTTGGGCAAGTCACATACTCTCAGCCTCAGAGGATGGCAATGGCAAACCCCGTCTGAAGAAATATGCTAAGAAGATCTTAGGAGAGGTTCACCTTAGGGTCACCATAAGTCAAAAATGACTTGAAGGCACACAAAAACAAACAATCAGAGAAATGCATTACCACAAGTATTTACAATTGATTAACTATCCAGAAATAGGTGGCAAGATAGACTGTTGAATTCAAGACATTCTAGCACATTAGAAGATGATTTTTTTCTTTATGCCTCATGGACAAAATGCCAATAGCCATATTGTCACAGTATTTTTCCAGTTCTTTCCCTAGTATTGTACTTCCCTTGCATTATTGTATAAACTGTGAGGACTCTCTGCTTTAGGCAATGGAAATACACCAGTTGAAAAATGTAAGGGTGAGAGAAGAATCAGCCCCTTAGTCTTTTAAACTAGGTCAATGAAACCATTTGTAAACACTGAAAACTTCAATCTTTGCCAGGACTTGTGCAGCCAAAAACATACAACCAGTCAGTGATACCACAAAACTGCATGGAGCCACTCTGGGAAAAGAAATACTCAGTAATCAACCAGACCCACAGGGAGAAAATAAATATTCATATCATTGGACACTACTTTTCATCTTTATTTTTTATTTTGCCATCAGGATACTATACTAACCAATACTACACAACACAGCACAGTGGCTCACTCACTTAATTTCCATTAGCCTGTTTTCCCTGCAGGTTGAAAAAGGAAGCAGAAACCCAGTATCTTGGCAGATCAGTGGAGAAAGAGAATATTCAGCCCAGAGGGGCTGGAATTTTGGATCTCAATTTCTTTCTGGAGTGCAGAAGAAAAATAAAATAATGGAAATATAACTCCATTGAGTGAATAAATGAATTTGGAAACCATAATCTAATTTGCTTTTGGAGAACCTAAAGTTATGAATGGCTATTAAGTAGTTTTTGAAAGGGAATGAGATGAGAATCCCTAGAGCAACCTAACTCAAACACTGAAATCAGTGAAAAAACAAACTATTATATCAAGAGTAGTGACCTGAAGCGCTGTTGTTAATTCAAGAGAGATGGATTTTCTACTACAAATCCCCCATGTCCCCAAACCAGAAAACTACAGCCTAAGTCCAATTACTAGTCCCAACTGGGAAGCTTATCGCACGACTTTTCAAATCGGCTTACCTCTCCTGGCTTAAGTTTTAACTCGGGAGGCATCCTGATATTATTGTATCAATTTTGCCACCGAATCTGCCACCCAGGTCCATCCTGGGTCCATCCCCGCTCCCAGGGGTGCTCAGCGCACCTCTTTTCGAAGCCAGGAGTTTTTCAACTTAAGAAAATGGCCACCGGATCACCCCTGGGAGCAGGGATGGATCCAGGCTATATTCAGGCAGCAGATTCAACAGCATAATAATAATAATAATAATAATTTTTTTATTTATATTTCCCACCTCCCCCTACGGATCGAGGTGGGATTACACCAAATCGCTGCAATAATATCAGGATGCTGCCCGAATTAAAATTTAAGCCAGGAGAGATAAGCCAATTTGAAAAGCCATGCAATAAGCTCCTAGAATAAACTCATTAAACTAATGAAATTTGCATAAGCATTGACTTGAGTAGTTAAATCAATTGAGTGTATTCAAGTCGGGACTAGACACAGGTAGTTAAAATTCAGTGGATTTTGATTTAGAATCAAGTTGAGGTCAAGAACTGCTAACCTATCACAGCATTCACCTAGCACAAAAGGTTAGAGAACGATTATAAAGGGAATTCAGGTTTCATACATGGAGCATACAAAGGCTGGGTAAGTAGCTTTACTTTAACCAGATTTCAGGCTGATTAAGAAGATCACTGAACAGTGATGTTGAAACCTATTATATCATGGTAGCTTATTTCAGTCATCATTTGCAGCATATATTACTATGCAAGTTGAAATATGCAATTATTTAATGGGCATATTATTTAGTCAAGAGACTGCAAGCTTGGTTGCTTGGACTGGGATGCTTAAAAGATATTTGTTAGGTGGTAGTATTGTCGACAAGCTTTACAAAGTGAACTGTTGCTTTTTTTCCCTGAAGTCTTGCAGGTCATTGGAAATGTCTAGTTTCTGTAGCCATCATATACTGTCACGCCCAAAGGATACAAGATATTGTTTATCTGCCCATCAATTTAAACTGTGTTCTGCTCATGACAGAGGGAAAGCCCTGATTATATCATTCAATATTCAGTAAGAAAAAATGTATCATATTTTTGTACAACAATAACTGCACAGTCTTTACATAAGTCTACACAGAGGTAAGTCCCATCGAGTTCCATAGACTTTATTTGCAGGTAAATGTGTAAAGGGTCTCTCTCTGTGTGAAAGAGAGCTATCATTGTTGTTGTTGTTATCTATATGCCTCCTTTCTCCTGGAAAGTAGCTTACAGAAAAAAATAAGATCCTCATTTCTTTTCTGTAAATTTCTAGTCTGCTTGGGAACCTGATTGTAAACTGCCCCACCCTATATCAGATACTATACTTTGGGGCTGACAGGTGAATATTTGGAGACACTCTTCAGTGTTAGTCATTCACATTTTCTCCTGCCATCTCTGTAATACCATTCCATGTGAATGGCTCATTATAAATGTTTAATTCCACATTCTTCCATTTATTTGTTAAAAATTATTGCAGCACATGTGTACCTACATACACAATCATCAGGTTCCACCTATTTCTTGTCATCATGCCATTTAATGAATCTTGAATCCCAGTTCTGAAAGGGAAGGAGTTGAGAAAGAAAGGGGGGGGGAGGACAACTTCCTATTGGTCCAGGATATCATCCTACTTCTAAATAGAATGGACATTTACAGGGAAAGAAATCAACAAAATGTCCAGTTTCTGCAAATATACTTTTTAGAATTTCCAATTTATGCAATGAGAGTACATACATATCCAAATATACTAGAATACACTAAGGTACATAAAGCATAGTATTCAATGACAAAAGGAAACCTTGACTGTACTGAGGAGGTTGATCTTCATCTGTTTCTTGAAATGCCTGCAGTGGCAACAGAGGAATAAATTACTAATGAGGGGATTTCTATGTCAAGGAAAAAGTGACTAGTGACCTTTCAGTCGAAATACAATTGATAGGTCTGCTTGGATAAATATAGTAAGAAAGATGGTTTGAAAGCATATAAGTGGTCATTACTTTCCACAGGACTTTCCCCCACTACTCACACTTCATAAGGTTTTATTGGATAAGAGCCTGTGAGCAGATGAGGATCAAAAGATTTTCAGTGACTCTTGATGTCTTCAGGGCTAGTTGACCTGGCAGATTCAGATACTAACATTTTCCTAAAGGGTGGATTCATGATCTGCTCTATTGTTTTAATATGAGTTATTATATCATGGAAAATGCTTTGCTTTCACCCTTGCAATAAAACCTTGCAAATAAAGCCAGTCTAAGAATAAAGGCTTTTGGCAAAAACATGAACAATTGTTTCTTTAAAAAAAAGTTTCTGAGCTGATAGCAGAATCTTACAGCATCACACTTTGGAGAAAACAGATTAGCTTCAGAGACCATTACAATTATTTAAAAGAGAAGGAAGTAACAGTTGTGCATATTTCATAATATTGCTATTATTGCTCATCACAAGTATAGAACTTCATGGGCTAACTACAATTTTAGCCCTAAAAAGATTTTTTTCCTGTTGAAATCAATGGGAATTATATAAATGTTGTCTAGCAAGTCTCATTAATGTCAATGTGTTTACCTCAGTTGATACTAAAATTGGACATATGAGGAGAGAGATGCATCTAACAAAAATGACAAAAAGAGTTTTTCCAGCACTCAGAAGTCTCTATTTTGCCTGAAAAAATGCAGAACTAACAAGAACGGAATCTGCTTAAAGACAAACACATTTTTAATGTGGTACAAATTTTGTGGACACTGCCCACTGCATGAAGCATTACCTCGGCAGGTTTATATACACCTGCTTGCATAGGATTATAAATAGTGGAGTCAGAAGGAATTTAAATGCAAAAAAATGCAAAGAAAGGTAATGGTCTTGAATAACTTTCATAAACAAAACAATGACATCTGAGGAATGCATCAATGCATCTGAGGAAGTAGACTGAAGTCTATGAAAGCTCATGCTGCCAACTTCTTTCTTTCAGATGTGCAAAGGTGCTACAAGATATCTCTATGTACTAATTCTACAGAATAACATGGCTTTAAAAAAAAACAATGACAGTAACACAGAAATCCTTGACTGATGAACTGATTAACACAAGTAATACAACTGAAAGTCTTTGCTCCTGTCCAAGCCACAGGAGATATTAAATCTCAGATGAATTTTTGTCCCATTATTTCACACTAGAATCTGTTTCTAAAGTTCTTTTGTTCATGAACTTGCAATCACAAGAATATCATGAAACAGAATATCATGAAACAGGTGTTGTTGTTGTTTAATGTGGCCATATATGTTGTCAGATTTTTGTTGGTTTGTTGGTTTGTTGGTTTGTTTTTGCATAGGCAATGGCTTGTTCATTATATGTAGCATGCAGTAGGGAATTGTTAGCAAAGGACGGTATATGTCAACTTGGAAGATGAGGAGGTATATGAATCCTGGTGTTCTGAATGACATGATTAGGTTCTATGAAAGTGTTACCAGTGTAGACTTGGTGGTGAGCTTGGCCACTGGTCTATCGTGGAGTCTGGGTTTTTTTGTCTATAATAATAATAATAATAATAACAATAATAATTTATATTCTGCCTTTTGCTGTGGCAATCAAGGCAGCTTACATATAAAATTAAATTTAAATAAAACATGCCCAAAATAAACAATACTAATAAATAACAGTTAACCACCTTTTAAAAATATATAAAATATAAAAATACAAAAGTAAAAGCATTGAATTAAAACATTCTGGGACACCAATAAAAGCGC